GCTCGAGGCAAAGTAGTGGTGCAAACGCGAGACAGTGCGTCCGCGACAGGGTTATTCACACCAGAAATATGACGGATGTCCGACGTGAATTGCGAAATATAATCTAGGTGACGTAATTCACGCGGTGAATATCTGTCAGTAGTGGTGTGTAAGGCATACGTCAGAGGTTTATGGTCGGTAAAGATGATGAAGTCACGACCTTCCACAAAATGACGAAAATGTTTCACTGAGGCATATATGGCGAGCAGTTCCCTGCCGAAAGTGCTGTACCGCATTTCGCAGGTGGATAACTTCCGGAGAAGAATGCAACTGGGATCCAAGTGTGATCCGAAAGTTGTTGCAACACAGCTCCAATGGCCGTGTTAGAGGCGTCAACCGCAATGCTGAGAGGTAGGTTTACGTCTTGATGCACCAGCATCGTGGCGTCTGCTATTGCGGTTTTGATCTTGCGAAATGCTTCTAGTGCCTCCGGAGTCAAGCTGAAAGTTTTACATTTACTTTTCAGCAGGTCGGTCAGTGCAGTCAAAATGTGTGCACATTGGGGAATGAAGCGACGATAATAGCTCACCATACCCAGAAACACACGCAGAGCTTTAAGTGACGCTGGGACTGGGAAGTCTTGGATCGCCTGTACCTTTTCAGGTAGTGGGCGAATGCCTTGCTCGTCGATAACGTGTCCCAAAAATTTTAGTGAACGAACGCCAATTTGGCATTTGGCCAGGTTGACTGTCATCGAATGCTCTGACAGTCTGGCGAAAACCTGTTTCAAGTGGTTAAAATGGGTGTCTTCGTCTGGACTAGCGATTAGTATATCGTCTAGGTAGGCATAGGCGAAATCGAGTCCACGTAAAACATCGTGAATAAAACGTTGGAAGGTTTGTGCTGCATTGCGAAGACCAAAAGGCATACGGAGGAACTCAAAAAGACCAAACGGTGTAATGACGGCTGTCTTGGGAACATCATCAGGATGAACCGGGATCTGATGATATGCACGCGTCAAGTCAAGCTTACTGAAGATAACCGAGCCTTTTAAAGATGCAGTCAAGTCGTGAATGTGAGGGACTGGGTAACGATCTGGAATCGTTTTAGCGTTGAGCCTTCGGTAGTCACCACAAGGCCTCCAGTCCATGCCATTGTTCTTGGGTACCACATGCAAGGGTGAAGACCATGGACTGTTGGATGGTCTGATTATTCCCATTTCAAGCATGTGTTCGAACTCGGCTTTTACAGCACGCAGTTTCTCCGGGGATAATCGCCGTGGTTTCGCAAATACTGGAGGGCCAGTCGTCGTTATGTGATGAGAAACGTTCGAAGTCACACAAGGGACACAACGACTTGGCTTAAAGACATCCGGAAAGGACTGAATGATAGACGCATAGGGACTAGAAGCGTCCGTCGTGCAGTACACGGGACTGAGGGGCGGCGTCTTTGTGACTATACCGGAAACAGAGAGTGTTGTGGTAGAATCTATCAACTTATGCTTGCCAGCATCTACCAGCAGCTGATAGTGCTGCAAGAGATCCATACCAATAATGCCGGTGGTCACATCTGCCACTATGAAAACCCAACGAAAGGGACGACGCAATCCAAGGTTGAGATCGAGGAATCTCCGACCATAGGTTGTGATGGGCGAACCGTTGGCGGCACGAAGTTGCAGAGACATTGGCCGCAGACGCTCTTCCTTCGTAGGTGGGATGACGCTAGCTTCTGCCCCAGTGTCAACTAGGAAGCGTATCCCAGAATGTCGATCAGTGACGAAGAAGAGGCGACATGGAAGTGGCTCGCCAGCGACGTTAGTCGCCGTCACGTGCTGGCTCACACGTTTCCCGCCTGGTTAGCCTCGAAGGTGCAAGGTCGAGTGCACTTTTTGGCATTGGCACCATAACGTTTATGGTACCAGCACAACCTGGGTTGGGATTGTCGCGATTTGGAACGTCTGCTATCGGTACGGGAGGCAGACCTGTTGCGCGAGCGAGACGTGCGACCTTTGTAAGAACTACCAGACCGCATTTCGTTCCTGATGCTGCACAACTCTTCATACAATTTTGAGATGTGAGTTATAACATCGAAACTTGTTGGCTCAACAGCCGAGGGAGGATTTTTGAACGAATCCGTGGCAGTAGACAGTGCAGCTGAGATACTAGTGTTGGGTTTCGTAGCATCCACAGCTCTGTCAGCCGCTTCCGCCAACTCTATTAAGGGGCACTTATGGAAGGGTGCGAGGATCCCTTGAACCGACTGTGGTAACCTCTGTAACCACAGTTGCTTGAGAAATGCTTCATCAATGTTGAAGTCAGCAATCAGCTGCTTCATCTGACGAAGCAGTTGCGTCGGCTTGCGATCACCCAGATGCACATCCCTGAAAAGTTCTTGCACTTTCTGCTGGTCAGTAAGTGCAACACGTTTGATGAGGGCGGTTTTGAGGCGATCGTAAAGATTCGGTGCTGGGTCATCTAGCACATCTGACACGTCTTCAATCACATTTTCCGGTAAGCTGACGATGACTAAGTTGGACTTAGTTTCTTGTGATTGAATGTGTCTCAAGGCAAACTGAGCTTCCACATGGGAGAACCATGCAGATGGTCTGTGGGCCCAGAAGGTGGGAAGCTGGAGGGTTATGGCCATCTGCGCAGTCGAGTCGTTATCCGCCATTGATCAGGGAATTAACGAGGCACGATAGTGATAATAAAAAAATTACAATGCAAAAATAACCAATGAGGAGTGCAATAATATAAAAAAAAACGCTAGACGTGCCAAAAACAAAATTAGGCCAGACAAATCAACGCAAGAGAACAAAGGTACTAGACAAAATAAGAAGTGATACTCGGGCTCACCAATTTTTGTAGGGATGCGTGTTACAATTCCGTAACGTTTGATCAACCCTACTTAATTTGATGTGCTCTAGTACCTGCTTAACCAGTACTTTACCTAACGTGTAAGTACTGGTAACAAAACACAAATCAAAAGAACTGATACGCAATGTATTTAAAGGAGCTATGTATTTAAGGTAAATGTAATAATAATGAATGAGGGAAAAGTTTAATCAACTTATCTGGCTTGTAAGGCTGAACTAGGGACTCGGAGTACGTGCGTGGTGATCAGCACAATGGAGCGCAAAAATGGCGTCCAAGCCTGCTCGGATGCATGCTCGTTAAAACAAAACTTAAAACACCCTAAGCATCCGGAGGCAAGCTAGAGATTTATTTAGTTAATTTAATTTAAACTATTTATTTTAGCCCTAGTTATATTTTGGTGCCAGGAAGGTGCACTACAAGGTAATTTCAACTCAGCATCATTCTGGTCTCAGTGTTTGGGCCATATATGTGGCCTCGTTGAAAGTGGTTGTACAAGTTTCATGAAGGAAGGTCGTTGGTCATGAAGGTAGGATAGTCATTCTTTCCTTGACCTCCCATACACAGTAACACTTGTAAGTTCAACTTAATTTGCAAAGCGACTTTATTTCACTGGTGTTCAGCATCGTATACATTTCATGTTGAAGAACGAACGCTGGATGAGGTCATTTGATAATTCGATACAGTGTAACAAAGAGGAAACCACCAGTATTAAAAAACAACAAAAACTAATGTCTGCTGCTCGAGAGATGTCCCCCTTGCCTCAGCGCCATAACAAATGACACTTTGGAGCTTTAAGCGATGCCTACAAGTTTCCTGTCTGGGTGGAATATCTTCACCGAACGGGGGCAGGTGCACCGGGTCAACGAGCCCCAAGCAGGACGAAATGCGCGTCATGCTAACCACCGACAAGTAAATCAAAATTGATGGCTTAGTCTGTCTGTTTTGATGGTCTATATGTACCCGTTACCTGGATGCCTCTCTCGAACATAACCACACAGTTTCACCGCAAATTGTAGACGGAGAGCATAGAATGAGACTGCTTTGAAGGGAAAATTGCTTAAGAAGCACGTAAAGTGGTTACACGCAGAGGAATAGATTCTTTTAGGACGATTATGCGCTACCAGGGTTAATTATCATGGTGTGCTTCATTAGTTCATGCAGAAAATGATGCAAATAACTATTACCATTTTTGAATAATTTTTCCCTTTTGAAGCGTGCGTTACATCTTTTGTGCTTTCCTCGTGCTGCTGTATTTTGGCAATCTGCCTACGATATAGTTACATTTTCCGCCTGCAAATTAAATCTTCTAAACATATACGTTATCCGCTAACTGTTGCTGTCATTTTCTCCGCAACTATTGGTTGCATATCTCTGGTTTTCATCAATACGTGAGCTTTGGTCTGGACTTCAGTGTTCTTCGCTATTTGGAGGGAAGTTGTAGCATCCTGCCGCTTTATCTACCAGGTTACTGCAAAAGCTGAGATTGACAGACAACCAATAACTTTAATCTGTGTTGCAGATAAGTCTCTAATCTTGCTATTTTATTGTCAGACAATAAATTTTTGCTTCTTTATGTCTGTGCCTTGTAGCCTTAACATGAGTTACGTTATTGCTGCCGTAAACAAACCTATCCATAAAGCTAAGAGATCAGAAGTTTTGAATCCGTCACTATGGTGTAAAGATGGCTTATTTAATGGTCCTTCTGTCGATCTGTCAGACGTCATGACTGACGTATATAATGGTGTTATTGCGAACAAGTGTAATGTTGTTGACAACAGTAATGCGGTTGCTGATCTTTGGCTTAAACTAAACTGTCTTACACCTCTGATTTGCCTACTCAACTCTACAACGGACTTATCAGTAGATAACCTTATCAAGTATGAAACATTGGTGAACTTTGTAGCCACTGGAGCCAGCAAACGATTGACTTCGTCGCACAACTCCATTATCCTCAATGTCCCTGATAGTTTTCCATCAGGACGTGTTAAAAATGATCTCCTCCAAGCCTGTGGTTTGCATGAGTATGTTTGCACAGTCCGGCGTCTTAGGATGAGGACTAGTAAATACCCCTGTCCAATACTATTGCGGTTTAGCTCACTCCTTGATGCGAGACACTTTTGTGGTTCACAGAAATCTGTAAGACTCTTAAGAAGCTGCGAGAACGTTAAGGTACTTCCAGATCTTACCCCATGCCAAAGACGGACACGTGTTCGAAACCTTATGAAGTCCCTCTGGAAACTTCATCAAAACCAATGGCCACCGGAAGCTTACTGGCGCCTGGGAGTCAGCTACTCACACCAGATGACACTGTAAATGTAGATCAACAAAGGCTGACCGAGCATATTGTTGCAAGTTCATCAGTTGCTACTGTTTCACCATCCAACAGGGTAGTAAACACCGAAACTGAAGGTCAAATCTCCGCCAGTTATGCAGATTTATTCTCAGATGATGTTGATATGGATGGCAACGGTAACGATACGTCCGATATGCACCTGATTCCCCTGAGTTTATCGACGAAACCTGCATTCTCCAGGTGCAGTTACGCTGTTAAGCCTTTACCGCCCTCAAATACCATGTTGACCTCTGGGTGTATTGGCAATGCACAGTCACAAAATGCCATCTTTCGAAAACCTAAACCTAAAAGTCCTAGTTCGAGTATACTGCCAAAGCCACAGAAACGTTTTAGTCAGCCCCGAAGTAACTATATTTAGACTGTTAAACCCGATGGTTATAAAGCCAGTCGAAGAGTGACCCCTTTCATTACGCAGACACATTCACGACGTCCACCGACATGACACCAAGTGCTTTGGCACCCTCACTAACCAACAGAAAGGTAGGATCCATACACCAAGATGGTAAAAAGTAAGGGAACATGCGTAAGAATGTTCAGAACACAAATGCCTCCCATAGTCATGAAGACAACGGCTACATGAGAAACGATGGGTTTTTCTCCTCACACCCATCTACACAACATTCAAATCCAATGTATGCTCGCCCCAGTACAACGATATCACCTCCTAGTTGGAGACCTGCTGATCGGATGCAGCCTGTGATACTGGCTCCCCAACATATTGCACCCTACCCCTTCCTATACAGAAGTGAAACCACAGACTTACTTGGCTCATTTCCTCAGACACCTATACCCGGGGTTCATTCTCAAAACCCAAGTTTTCGCGGACTTCAGAAATTATTAGCGCCTTTTGCTGTTCAGATGATGACGCTGTGGAATCAGCTACTCTCAACCCTAACTCACAACCGCTGCTGTGGTGAGGAAGATGTTACGCCAGCCTGTCATTCTCCCAGCTCATATACAGTGGGTCAACACCTAACACAATAAAGGATATATTAGTAGTAACCCAGTAGTATCTTATTCCGCCGTCATGTCCCCGAAATTAAATTCTACCCCATGTTCCTCACCATTACAGTTCCAACTAACCTGCGAGAAAAAGCTTTCCGAAAACAGGTTTAGGTACTACTGCTTATCCAATTCTTTAACCTTCTGTCTGATTAACGCTCGTTCCATACGCAACGAAATGAGATCACTATGTTGTCGACTATGTCTAACCCCTGCCTAACATTTATCACTGAAGCTTGGTGTACTCCAGACACTCCTGATGGTGGTGTCTCTGTCGACAATTATACTCTGTTTACGGGGAATGGATATAATGGTGGAGGTGGTGGTTGCATCATCTATATCAGGTCCGACATTGCTGCGACAAATTGTATTACTTCAGAACTCAATTCGCTCAGTGTGGGTTGTGGCAAAGTTTACAAATGCTATAACTACCCTCTTAGGGTGTATCTGCCGTCCCCCTTGCTCTACTGTAGATTATGACGACAGGCTTGCAGAAGTGTTCACTCATGTAACAACACTGCCCTACTCCATGAAACTCATATGCGGTGACTTTAGTATGCCTGACATCAAGTGGCAGACACTTCTCCTAGGCGGTTTGATGATTTTACTAATGTGTTGGATTCTGGAGGATGGCGCCAACATGTAATGCAACCAACTAGACACAACAGCATACTTGACCTCGTTTTCACCAATGGATTATTGCCTTTCACTCTTCAAGTCGGTCCAGAATTCCCGGGCAGCGATCACAGAGTAGTGTTTGGTGACTTCCGACTATCTCCCAGAACTACGTTAGCTCCCAGGTCAAAAACAACCACAGTTAGACGATATGAAAATGCCATCTGAGAGGAGATACAATACATGTTGCGATGCTTGGACTGGGGTTCTTATTTCACCAGTAGCTCAACCCATGAACTAAGTGACATCTACAGTTCCATGAATGTAATTCATAATCATATTGCTCCGGAGGTATCAGTATTAATTAGAAAGCCGAAAGTGAATTTCATCCCTGAAAATGTACGTATCAGCATGCGCAGACATGCCAGAAATTTCTATCGATCTAATGACTTTTCATCCCTTGTCTCATTAAAAATTGCTCATGAGAACTTCAAATCAAATAAGTTACTGAAAGCAATCAAGCAAGAAACTAGCTGCAACGCACAAACAGGCAATGCTCAATCATTAGTGAGAATTCTAAAATCCCGTGCAAACTTATCTAGAGTTATTCCCAGTAGTCTGATCATTGATGGGGACATTCTTTATGACGACCCAAGCAAGATCTGTGAGCTGTTTAGTAAACATTATGCAAGCTGCTTCACGCACGAAGATAGTGTACTAAACATACAAATGCCCATTCCACCACACCACTCACTAAGTAATGTTTCCTTTACACAGAGAAAGATAGATGATGCAGTTGCTCCATTAAAGGACTCATATTCTGCCGGACCCGATGGGATCCCGTCTGTTCTCCTTAAGAGGGGTGGTGAAGATATACCATCGATCCTCATGAAGCTATTCTCAATATCCCTTACTGAGGCATGCTACCCTGACCGCTGGAAGCTGTCATACATATCTCCCACGTATAAATCTGGGCCGACGTCAGACATTCAGAATTATCGTCCCATAAATATTACATCTGTAGTCTCTCGTATCATGGAGAAGGTGGTTGTGCAAGAAATCAATGATTACGTGGCTGCGCATCAGCTACTTTCCCCTATGCAGCATGGTTTCTTAAAAGGTCGTTCATGTAGTACTTGCTTACTGGATTATTTTGAGGAGGTCACCTGCAGACGAGATGAAGGTCTTTTCGTAACTGCTCTATTTTTTGACTTCAAAAAAGCATTTGATAAAGTGCCTCATAATCGGTTAATTCTTAAGCTTCAATCATTTGGAATTAGTGACCCTCTATTATCGTGGATAAGCTCATTCCTTAGGCAGCGTACTCAAATAGTAAAGTTCAGTCAAACCTATTCCTCCTCACAGCCTATTTTGGGTGGTGTCATTCAAGGTAGTGTGTTGGGGCCCTTACTCTTCCTCCTTTACATAAATGATATTTCTAACGTGATTAAATATGGTAAACCCTACCTGTTTGCTGACGACTTAAAAATCGTGTATAGCTTTCCCCACTCATCGCTAAGTGAGGGTTTTAATAGAATCCAGGAAGACCTGACGAATTTGTTAGCTTGGAGTGAAACATGGCAACTTCCACTTAACTCTAGTAAATGCGGAATTCTCTGTTTCAATAACTCTTATCCAAACGTCAGTTTACACCTTGGCGATTCTGTGCTGCAATCTTATAACTCAGTATGTGATTTAGGTATTAGGTATTCTCGGAACTTAACGTTTACGGAATATGCCCAGTCACTTGCCTCCAAGTGTAGGCGCTCAGTTGGCCTTTTGCTTAAACACGTACATACCACTGAGGCCAGACTGCTTTTATTCAAGGTAATGATCCGCCCAGTACTTGAATATGGCACAATCATCTTCAGCAATATGTATGCTTCGGATAGGATACTAATTGAGAATGTTCAAAGAAAGTTTACCTGCTATGTACTGGGCCGTCACGAAGAACTTGATTATGAGGGAAGGTGTAAGAAACTAAAAATTGACCCACTTTGGCTAAGACGCCTTAAGCTCAACCTTAACCTATTTTTCCGCCTTTTGCATGGCATTACTCACGCCTGTTGCGCTCCTACTTTTAAGCCTATGTCCTCATATAGTCTACGCAATCGTGAATGCACTGTACCTGCAGAAAAGCACCGCCTTAAACTTAGGTCACGATCCTTTATGTTACAGTACAGCAAGTTATGGAATAAGCTTCCACATTCTATTAGCTCTTGCATGTCTGCATTTCAGTTTCGACGTCTACTCAACGAATTCTTTCTTTTCACGGATATCTACGAATTTCATGACATTCATATTATATCCACAAATACGAAGCATAATGGAGCAATCGGCACATAACAATGGTCAAGCCATTGCGTCCACTGTGAACGTACTCAGACCTCTAAATGTAAGAATCGGTTTTATTATAGCCCTGCAGTTCCTTTAATGCAGATGGCCTTACGATTGCATACAAGGGTATGAATACTGGCTCCTCTCCATATAATGAACTTAAAGAATACTGTTCACCACTCAAAGCTACTGCGGTACATCCCCTCCAAAAAAACTTAAGAACTTTATAATGGAAGGACTATGTAGTTGACTTCACACATATACATGAAAATGTACATAAAGTCCGAATAATTAAATATATATATATAGACTTCTCTCTTCTCCAGATTTGATAGCGTAGTAATCTCTATTTCCATATCTGCTCGTGCCTCTTCTTTCTTTCCCCATCTGCAGAAACAGCTGCAAGTCGACATTTGATGTTCAAATTCAGTCTGAACGTGATTACTTTATGGGAATAACACCTGCTCATTGACGCCAATAATTATTGGACTGCTCCCACTCTTTCGCAAATTCTGGACCATCTTCAAGATTAACTCACCTACTGATCATGACTTTTCTTGCGACGAACCGTCTGACCATTCCCAACAGTATTAGTAGCAGAGACATTCTGAACAGATGATTAAACCAGAGACCAACTTACATATTGGCTCAGGACGTCACTTACCTGTAATGGCTCCACACATTTTTTAGTACTCTGTACCAAGAGACCTTTTCATTTGAAACTTACTACGCATCAAATACACTTCTCGAATGATGCCGCCTACGCTAATACAAAAGATACCCAAAGTCTATGTATAAATACTGCCACTTGGGCTACTGACTGTTTCAACATCTATTTCCATCCAATACAACCAGTATTCCCAGCAGAATTAATCCATATTACCTTTAAAAGTAACATGGTGACCTGGGGATGCATTGACACAGCCATACACGTTGGTTATATAACTGTGGATGCTTTATTGATACTCCAGATTGTATAAATGGGTCCTTTGTGGTTAGCACAGATAAAAACTGAAGTTCATTCTAAGTAATAAACTGCTATATTACTAATCAGCAAACTATACGAATGGACTAAACGTCGGTTGCTCATAACTCAAACTTTGAACACTGCGCGCTTTTGATATTGATAACGGAACCAGTTTGTGAGATAGGAGATAAAAATCCATATCCGTCTCATGAATTTCAGTAAATTTTAATAAGATTATGCACACTGATGACTTGATATGTAAATTACTTAATACTAGGTACCAGTTCGTAAACTTTTAAAAATTATGAATTTGACGGTGCTTGTAAACTGGTATCCCTCATGTTAAACCTGTTAAATGAAGACAATATTTATTATTATCCAAACTTCAACACTCTATGTACGCTGCAAAGTAACATTTCCTTGTTCATTTCATAACTAGCATTACCTTCGGCAGTTTTCAATTGAGTTTAATGACATTCCGCCAGTACCACTCTGGGCTGAAGTCTTTTAGATATTTTGAGATGTATTAACGTGATGAAGCCTGTAAACTGTCTTCCGTCATGTTAAAATTCTTTTAACTCAAGAACAGAACGTTTATTTACTTATTTATGGGAAAAAGAAAAGGAAATCACAAGCGGAAGCCGGAGAGTAGTATACCACAGAAGACGAAATTGGGAAGAGAGAAGTTCCTATCTTCTTACAGACACTCGAGCTATATGTACTTTAATTTAGGCATATGGAAATGGCTCTTATGGTTTTACTACGTAAAATTCGTACAAGTTTCTGGATATACCATGCCTATTTGTAGGCGTAAGGGTAAAACTGGGCGCTGCGGGAAATTTGTCCATCCAGAATGAGGAGTAGAAGCTTTGTTTGTCATGGTTCAGAATAAAGGAGGCGTTGAATCGAGGGGCCATTTGGACAAAAAATAAATGAGGTATACACAATTATCCTTATAAACGTCTGCGGTCTCAGGCGAATTTGCTCACTTGGTCTTTCATTCCCTGAACACGTTACGTCACAGACATGCAAATCTAAAAAAAGGACTTTCACATGGTACCTTACGTCTAGATAATAACAATTTACAGGTGCATATCAGTTTTATCATTACTAGGATACGGGTGCAAGCAGGACTACAAGTTTCGGCGCATAACCCGAGATCTAGAACTATTTTGGATGGGACCACTCAAAGTCAGCCTCATGCTTTTCTTCAGTCTGCTACACGATTCTACCCCTGCAGCCAGAGGTGAGCTCGGGTTCTACCACAGCAGTTATTATGACCTGCGCAACCACTTTTACAGCTTCGCACAGGAGCCTTTGAAGTCCTCCTTTCGCGAACATTGTCTTTATCTTAACGCTATACTTAATCTCATCATTTTCTCATCCCTCATTCCTGTTTTTTACTCCTTTGTACTGCTTTTGATCGATGATGATCTTTATTTCTTCATCTTTCATCTAATCACTTTGTTGTTTGATGTGGTGATCTGAGGTGTGGGAACTTCGACCGTTACACTGTAATGCTTCGTCTTATTTTGATATTGATTGGTTGGCCGATAAGTGTTAGTGCTTGGAATATATCTGGTGAAATGTATCTGTATTTGTTGCAAAGTAAAGATCTGCTGACTACCTGAAACTTTTCTGATTTCCATACAACTCAGGCTAGTAGATAACATGAACTCATGTCATGTATTGGTATCACCATTATGAGACTTGTTACATCCTATCACTACTGCAGTTAACTGTGTCTTAAAGCAAGTGTTGACTAAGCTGGTCTCAAGTGTAATAATTTTTTATGGGGATATTGGCAATAAATCTTAGTTTCAAGTGTAGATTTGCGACTGTCTACCTAGGGTTGCTGAGATAAAAGTAATTGGTGGTTGGAGAACCATGGTGACATGGTTGAAAATTGGTCACAATGTTACAGGTGTATTCATTCTTTCATATTTTCGAAAGTTATAACTTTCCTTCCTTTTCAAATTCTTAATCTTCTAAACGCTTTTGTATAGCTTTATGAAACTTTTTCTATCCTCTTGTTCTCTGCGTGCTACTGTAAAGTGTGTCAACCTGATTCAATGCACTTCTATGCTGGGTCCTGCGTTGATTATGTTTGTAGATTTGCAAGTTGGTTGTTTTCTGAGTTTAATTTCTGGTTACAATGGTGTTGTCTTTGGCTATACATAACTAATGCAAAATTATATCACCATTGTAAGCACTGGGTTTTGGAATGATGAAACACCTTAAATATGCATGTAGTTTACACAAATATCCTTTAAAATCTAATATGCAACGTGTTACCTACTTCAGAATGGATTCGTAAAAGTATCCTAGTAAAGTAAACAGTAATCAGGTTCAGATTCATGTAATGAAAGTATTGTTTGGTTACTGTTTGGAATCTAGAATTAAATAAGGTCTAACGGTAACATTGAGATTGTTGTTTTTTATTGACAACACGTTGATAGGCAATCGTTCGAACTATATATTCCTTAGATTTATTTTATTCCTCATCATACGTTTTAGGATTTCATTGCTAAAAGTATGACTATTATCAAGCAAAGTGTGTTAAATCTCTTCTTTGTGTATGAAAAGTGGAGTTTAACACGGAATAGATCACCATACAATAATAAATGAATGCAGCATAATCATAAAGCTAAGGGAAATGACTGACTGTAGGAAACTATTAAGTATCTGAAGGTGATTGAAACAATGTCTTGAGTTCTAAAACGATCAACAAAGAATACTTGCAACCTTAATGTTTAGATTGGCTTTCGACACTGCAATCAAGTAATACAGATGAGCTACCAAAACATATCAAGTAAATTGTCTAAAACCAATTAAGATTTAAACAAAGTTGAAATTTGAATAAAACCAGAGTATTTTGGTCGGTACTCATGATTTATTACTGAGCTTGTAAGCAGTTAAATGAGTTTTTATCGGACTTATATTTCATAATATAGGACCTTGGATTGTATCCCGCACTTCTGAAGGCTTAGATATGCATTATTTACGTCAAAAAGATCCCATACACTTTTTTGTCAATACACATTATATGAAGATGAATTGGGTGATAACGGAATATCTGTGCTGAATATAAAATTTCGCGCAATGCCTTCTGGTTTTTTTTTACTGCAACGTTTCTTTTTACGTATTGATGGTGGACTGTTACGGGTGTACGACACACGACTACAATGGCGTCGAAATGACAGGTAATTAGAACTCAATGTATGTATGCACATGTGTCATATTTTATTTATGAGGAAGATAAACTGAGCAAGTACTCATTCCCAGTAGATTCTTATCAAACTCAACCTTTAAGTGTGAACGCTTTTCCACAAACGGTATACACTATTTTGTAGATTACAACTAAGATTGTGACCGGAAAATAGTAAGTGAACAGCTAGCTAATCTAAGTGGAGAGTGTTCTTACGTAGTGATTTTTATGTTTTTTTACCTTGCTTGTCATCATGCCTAATTAATAAAGCAATCGTCAGCTACAAGTAGATATAGGAGGTTCGACAACAAATGAAATCAAAATGAGGTTACAACAGTTAAGTTGAAACAGGAAGTTAAGGTAGTGAGATCAACAAATAATAACAACTACACTTATTTATTCAGTTTGCAAAAAATGCTAATTATTTTGTCATTATTTATACGACAGTTAATTAAGTGTTGGTCAGTGTGATTTATTTTCCATGAGCAACATTGTGTCAAAAGGATACAGAGTCTCAGACATTTTGGGCATATGTTTCAAACTCAATGCATTTAATTGCAACCATTTTCGTTATCTGAAGATAAAACTGGAAAATATACAGTCGGCTTTTTTTGATCTGGTGAATAACTGTAGATATTGTCTTTATAAGCACATTGTAGACGACATCAACTAACTATACCTTCAAGTGCATGTGATAGTCTTCACCTCTAGTTTACTCATTGTAGTTGATGCTTTATCATGAAATCTTTCTTGAGTCCGAGGAAACTGATTCAAAAGGGGACTCAAGTTCTGGTTCATGATTAGAGTCTGGGTTTGCATCCCATCCCTTACACTGGCTAAGACCTCGTGGTGGTAAGCACCCTTAACTCTTAATCCAGCTACTCAGATCCAAGTCTAGGCAAGGCCTAATACGTTTCTTCCCAACCAATAGCCACTACTTTGCTGTCTCAGTCAGGCTTGTATACTTCAGTGACCCGACGAGCTATTCTGGTATCGTATAGGTCTGTTAGGTAGCAGTGAGACAAAAGCAGTCACCGCTATAGCTACACTATGATGGGAGATGTGAGGGCAAAATCGTAATGTTGGTTGGACGAGAGAGTGACAGCATTAAGGTATTTCTGTCTAATGATCGGCATTCTATGCTGATACTGCCTTTCTTATACGAACGAGAGGATCTGGAAAAGTTCGACCAGAAATAACATATTCCCCCTACTTTGTGGTCTTCCGGTGCCACCGATATGCATTTCCTAGTTGGATATGAGAGAATTGAGGTTAAATTTCAAACTTTTAGAATGGCCGTTGTGACTGGCCTCGATCAGATGTCGTTTGGACTGTGTGGTCACGCACCACTATTGCTAAGTTAGTTTCTTTTTCAGACACCTCAGTAAGAAGTAACTATTCATGGTGTTGGCAGCCGAGAAGTGTTAGTCGCTTTCACGTGGAAAGTGCTCAGGTTAAGTCAGACAGAAAGACACCTAATTCTTAGCCTAAGGAATAAATAACAGTGACCACCTGCTACTACTGTGCTCAGACAGTCATCGATCTCTGACCAGTACAAACTTCAGACGTGGAGGCACTGTCTGGCATGGTGTCCACTTACCTTGACCTAGCAGTGGACACAGATAGCTCATGTTGTCATCAGCTATCATTGGAGAGGCTCCGTGGGAGATTGCCGCTCCTTCTGGAGCATGTGTTTAGGCACCAGTCTTGCATTGACTTCAACATGTGCATTTCCGAGCCCGAATGGTGCAGGACGATTTGGAGCACAACTTGACGACTGGAATACTTAAGTTGCTTTAAATAAAGTAACTGGTGAGACAGTTTTTGGGAACGAGATGAGACCACTCATCGTGAAAGATCCTGATGTTATTTCCAGTCTGCTGTGAAAACAGTGTTAAAAAACGCAACTAAGAAAGAGGCATGAATGAGCAAGTGCATTTCAGCAACTTTTAAATTAATGAGTGAATGTGAATGTATTTCTATAGCCTCCGAACACAATGATTAACGGAAGCAATTCGAAGACTTTTTGCAATGATTGTGAGCATTGTTGGACAACGAAGACTGAAGAGATACTCAAGATAGCTGCTACAGGTAAGAAAACGAAACCGATGATTAGTGAGACCATATCTGAGATGGATCGGTTTGCAATTCACTCAAAAGGAATACGCCATGAACGATGGGCGAATCACTTTTAGGAATCGTTCAATTGGATTTCTTTCAGTATTTAGTTACCCAATGTTCACTTGGATGCTGAGCGGAGAAGTGAGATAGGATTTGCAACTCTTGCAGAGGTTTAGGAGGTTATAAGTAATCTGAAACGAGGAAGATACTTCAGGACGGTGGTCGACGTTAATTGGTTAGAATAAGTGAAGTATTAATTTTGTTGTACAAGAAGTGGCTGTTGTGACTCGTTGGCCTAGTGGATAACGCTCTGGTGTTTGAAGCGATCAACTCAGAGTTCGAGTCTTAGTAGGCTGATCACTGATTGATCACTGGCAGGCAGATACACCCAGGTGACGAGTTCCAACTAGGACGAAACTCACGTCCTGGATTCCATTGCTAGCCACTATCCATCATCAAGTGAAGTACTAGCTAGGAATCAGATCTAGTGATCTATGGTCGGTTTCAGTCATTAGCTGTTCCAGTGTTCAAGAAGGTAGAAAAAGTCATGTGGGATAACCACAGGGTGATCCGTCTAACAAGCTCAGTGTTTAATATCTTAGGTTCTTTAGTCATCAAACACGAGTGAATTTCGTCTACAGCGAAACAAGGAAAACCATTCTGGTTTCAAACCTGGTTGTGTGTGTATTGACTGGATATTTACTCTCTTCGAGATACTGGAACACTGGCCCACTTACCAGTGTACCCAACAACAGGTGTATTTCCTGACCTGAAGATGATGTGCGATTCCGTCGATCGAGTGGTCTTATTGAAATGTCTTTCATGAAGGGAGTGCAGGATAAGTACATTATCTTGTTGAAGTTTCTGTATTCAAACATCCTTGAACTAGTTTATGATGGGTTATCAAGTGATTTTTGTACTTTCGTTTGTACCTGTCAAGGATGTGATAGCTCTCCATTGTGATTTGGTTTTACCGTGGACGTACTTATAGAGTTCGCCTTCTTGACTTCTGACTTTAGAGGGTCGACCTTAACAACGGAGACTCCTCAGTAGACCTGGAATCCTCGAATAACATAGCCCCGTCAGCTGAAGGAAGGTATGAAAATCAATGAGGTTTTTTCTTCGGTGAGTGAAATGAGTTGGGCATGTGAACACTGCCTACCTGGACGTACGTTCTTAGCCTCTGTAGGTTTTGACTTGAAGAAAGTCGATGATGTGTCAAGAGCGCATGAAATCCTTGATTTTTGGTCTAAAGGTTATATATAGTGCAGATCGCCTAATTAGTGTCTTCAAAACAACGAGAGCCAGTGTTTGAAGATTGTTGTGTTTTTAGTGGATATTGGTCAGTGGAGAAAACGTATTTCACTTTGACATTTCTAGGAGTTGGAGCATTTGACTAGTCTTTTCAAGTTCTTTCTTGCCATGCACTCCCTTCTATTTTGGCACCACTTTTTTTACTCTCTTTATCTTTGCATACTGCTGTGTAGTGTGGCAACTTGAATCAGTTCACTTCTGTGAGAGGTTCTACGTTGATTTTTCTGTCCACTTGTGATTTTTATCAGTTTCTCACAGTGATTTCAGTTACAAAGTGAAATGGCCTTTTATGCTACTTGGACTCAAGAGAACAGTAAAAAGCAGCTAATGTACAGAAAAATGCCCCAGATTATGAATAAATGTTTCTGTGTATCTCCTCCTATCTAGTATTTCATTTTCACAAAATGCTACCTTTAAAATCTCTGATATATGTATAGTGTGTTCTTCCTTGTGCTTCTCTTGTTCAGCTTCCTAATTCGGGATGTACGTCGAGCGGAGACTTCATCTTGGAGAGCAGATATGGCTGGAGTTAATTTAGAAACGGCAGACCAATTATGTGACACTTTAATTGAACACTATACAGAAAAGCTTGTACCATCAAGTTTAAATTTATCTTAAAAAAGTACCAGTTGTATATTTTACATGATTTTTGTATACAAAAACAACCATACTCTAATTAATTATACAATAAATTGGCCTTCTTTGATTTTGTTTGAATTTCTGGTTTCAAATTCGTAGGACATGAACGATACTTCAGCTGACTGAGTGATTTATTCAGTTTAGTCTCAACATATTTATCTGAGCAACTTGATAATATTCTTAGCTGTTACATAACAAATAAGGGAGTGACATGATACAACCTTCATTGTATAGTAGATTACAAACCACACCTGGCGAAACACCTAGGATTGATTTCACTCTACGGTAGTTAGTCGGATGTGTAAACCAATCGGTCAAAGTTCCACAAGTGTAGTGAACATCTATCATTACTTGAGCTGAAGCCCAATTATCCTCTGTGTGTGCGTATGTGCATGTATATCAAACTAACTACAGCGTTCGTCATCTGTTGTCACAGATATCAGCCATGTTCTGTTTGAGATTTGTATTTAGGTGCTGGTCATCTGACCTATGTTGAATTCCTAATACTGTCATTCATGACCGAGTTGTTAATATTTTACTGAAATAATTTCTAAGTTTGTTTAAAGTCAGTTAGTTCAAGTTCACTAAGGGGATCCAGGTAGTTCATTTATTATTTTCCTTCTGTGTCAACTTATCGGATCCTTGTTGAACGACGTATATGTTTGGATTTTGTGGTAAGAGTATAGCCCATCAGTCTAGACTACTAACTATAAAATATAGGTATAAGCCCTTCTCAGCTTGCCTCAGCCTCGACAACTGGATAGTATTTCATAAACCATCAATGACTGAATATCTCATAGATTGGTATTTAAAACGGCTCCAATCGAATCGCTTTGTTTATTAAATATTTATGATTCCTTTGAATTCACTTCCTACTGGTGTCACTCTAAAGAATAATCCGACTGACTTCGAAGTGTTCTACTTAACGCAAACGCTATGAATAACCAACTCAGCCCATCGGTCCGTGAACATACCATCATGTATTTTATGTTGTCATCCAGTGACAGGATTATTTTTATATCACCATTGGTCACATCAAATGACTTCAAAAATATACAAGATTTCCCAGGGTATTTTGACGGTCACGACAAAAATAATAGTTATGATTTATTAGTTACAAAGATCCATTCAGTGGGCTGAGTTACATTTCTTGTACGGAGGCCAATAATACTGTACAGACAGACAAAATCTCGCACACACGTGCATCGCCTCAAGTCGCCACACTTCACAGTAGTACACAAAGAACAGGTGGATAGTAAAGGAGTGATATCAAAGAAGATAAAGCAGTGTGAGCGAATAAACAATCTGGAGTTAAAGATTACTGCAAATATTCAAACATTAGATGTTAAGGAGTGATTACACATATACGCCATTGTAACCGATTTTCTGCCATGTCACCAAGATTCCTCGATCACTGATTCCTTTCGTCTCGAGTCTGGCAGCCAGGCAGTCTACATCACTTCGCGCTACTCAGAGCAACAGTCAGAGACTTCATCGACTGGTGCCAAGTGTTGGTCTTCCCAACCTGAACCCTCTTCCAATCTAATCCAACTTCTCTAAACATTGCATGTTGAGGCAGGCTGTGGTTCGGTATGCGCAACACGTGTCTAAGCTATCTCAGTCGACTAAGGTTCACAACCTCATTGACTGACTTGCCTACTACCCTCACCATTGCTCATACGGTGATTTCACCAAACGCGAGCAATGTTACGAAGACACCTGTGGTCAAAGCCCTGTAATCACTTCATGTCTTCTACTTTTAACGGTTATACCTCACAGCCATACAAAGCGACAGAACGGACTGCATTGCAGTGCACTCGTCCCCTGATCGATAGTCGGATATCTCACCAGTCGGCATCACAGATGACGCATATTGGAAAGTGCTAAATGGGCCTTCTGTGTCCGAGATGAGATTTTGTCAACAACCAGCTAGTTTGAGCTGATGCAACTCCCCACGTAAGTGAAGTGGTCGACACATTGTACCACTTCGCTACCTATAATTAAACTGGGAGTTGTTGTGAAGTATCATGTCACACCAGACAGGTGGGAGACGCATGTCAGTCAAACATACTCAAATTTCTACTGAACGCGTTCAGAAGACCCTGAACTTTGTCACTGTCTTTACAGACCTGGACAATAATACTATGCAGTTGACCATAGTGAAATGAACGGTGAGATTTTTAACAGGCAACTCAGTGGTGTTTAAGTTAAAATACTCATTTCTCTAAATCATATTTCTAGCAGTTATCAAGCGGAGATTACATGTACGTAATCTAAAATTGCGCATACCTATAGTCATGTTATTAGCGATCTCCCTTAAACACTAAAGAACTCTTCTGGTAATAAATTTTATTTCCAATAACTGAGGTCACTACACTGATAATGGGTTGGTTTTCGGTTCTTTTTGAAGCGCTATCTGTTAGCCTAGACAGAATACGACCCAGTTAGATTAAAAATATGAATTGTAAGTTTGATTTGTGTTAAACATCTTCACTTTCGTTTAACATACTTAAAACAGAGAATTTTATTGGGTATGCCACTTGAGTTGGTAAATAACGTGTGGGAATATATTTGGAACTATAACTTATGTTATCTTCAGTTATGTAACAAAGTGGTGTGCATAAGTTATTTGTTGAAAGCATCGCATCTTGTTGTTGCTTTTGTAGTAAACTGGCGTTCGCAGTCAAATTTGAAGATATGCATGAATAACGTTTATCATATGCTGTACTGGTTGTGTTAGTGGTACTGTTAGATGCATTGCTCGCAGCCTGCATGCTTATCGTGGGTAAATGATGAAATTCTATTTGGCCTTCATTCATTCCTTGTTTATTGGGTTCTACCTGTTAACAGAAAGAAGGTAGATTACACCAAGATTGTCATGAATGACTAGTAACTTGAAGAAAGTATAACTTCCTTACTTGCTGGAACTTAGTTTACGATAATTAGTCACTAAGTTCAGACCAAAGTAAATGCCCTAAGTATTGTGATATGATAAGTCATTTGAGTTTAGCTGTACAATATAGTCATTAATGTATATTTCAGAAAGCTGTAATGAACAATCAGTTAAGTATCAAACAAATCAGTTGGTTTTAACGTTTGAAACGTGATATTGAATAAGTAGCGCTGCGAGATTTGCACACTCGTCAAAGATTTCCAGTAAAGTTTCAGCCATTCACCTGTAATTTCAATGTGGTTCCTGTTTTAATCCTATTGGTAAACTTGAATATCTGCGTTTACATTGTTGTAATCAGGAGTAACAACTGAACTTGAGAAGTTGTAGATTTCTCCTGTCTTCAATGCACAAACAGTAAAACATCATAAGGGATGAGAAGTGCAACATTGTTGCGATATACTGTCAGTTAAAAATCTTATATGAGGAGATATTACCCTGTTCAAGTTGACTTGGCATATCTGATTATTGCATTTTTTGCTACTAAATATGTAGCTCACAAATTCCTATTTGTTTTGAGCATTAGAAAGCTTAGTCATGATAGTCATATATATATATATATATATATATATATATATATATATATATATATATATATATATATATATATATATATATATATATATATACTTTACCAGGTTAACTCTTTCATTGGCATTGCTGTGAAGGGCGCAAGGACTTGTGATTTCAGGAGCACAGGCTTCATACTAACTACTCTAGGATGCAACAGTGATGGTCATCCATCGATGATCACCTTTATTGGTCCTGCTTTTCAGTCGTCTCTAGGAGGCTTAGAAATGGTCAACCCTAAAATTAATTTCATAACATGGTGTTTGAGTACTGGTCGCTAGGTATTTCGACTTCGGATCAAACTATGCAGTCAGTTTTTCTCCAAATAGACCGTCTGTGGTTGGCCTCAGACAACCAGTCGATTAGGTTTTTAGTTTACATATGTCGATCAGTCAGATCATCAACATCGATTAATTTATCTTGATAAATAACATATCATCATGTTGACAGCTAGGAAGTATCGATTATATTCATGCTTCCTGAAGTAATAGGGTCGTTTTTGGTTACTACCATGTATTTTATAGTAATTCGTTAGCAACACTTTATCTTACATAATTTTAGGCTGGTAATGCCTCTCATGATTCCCTTCCCCATTCTTAGAAGTGAAACTAGTTTGTTCCTTATGTAGAAAGAAACAGCCAACATTTCTGAATGGTTCACAAATCTAATAGTAGCTAAGACCTAATGCATAGCTTTAACTCGCTTAGTGGTGGCTTGCAGGGAATCCAACACACGAGTTTCGTTCTGTTTGGTACTCGTCAGCTTGGTCTCCCTACATTCCAGTGGGTGGTTGTATTCCCACTAAGACTCCGAGCCAGCATGTATCACTCTGCATGCCAAAGCGTTACCCTCTAGGCTACTCAGTGGGGTGCAAGTACATCCAGCTGACGAGTCCTGAGTAGGAAGAAACGCGAGTACCGGATTCCACTGCTAGCAACCACCAGGCAAATTATAGCATTCGCTGGGTTCCATAAAATACATCTACTAAAAAAGTCTGTGAAACAGGCTGGATTCAGGAAGTACAAATCATGTGCCGACCAAATTGCAACGCTTCGCATCGTCATAGAACAAAGTATAGAATGGCAGTCAACTCTACACCTCAACTTCCTCCACTTTGAAAAGGCCTTTGACAGCGTCGACCGACAAGTAATTTGGCAGTTGCTTCAACACTATCGAATACCACAAACCTTTATCAACCTCATTCAATAGCAGCCATATGAGGACGATACATACCAAGTAATTGACAATGGGAAGCTCAGTGATGCTTTTGAAGTGAAGACAGGAGTGAAACAAGGTTGTCTACTATCCCCCATGATATTCCTGATTGTGGTCGACTGAATCATGCAGCAAACAGGCGAGATCTTCGACACTCAGCACAAAGAACAAGATCCGGATTTTCAACACCAACATCAGTCAAGTCAGTGCTTCCGTGTGATGGTTGAGAGACTTGGCGCGTTACGAAAGGGATTTCCAACAAACTACAGACATTCATCAACAACTGCCTACGCTGACTCGTTACTGAAGATCAGATGGCCAGAATTAGAAGAATGAGCAACAAGGAGCTCTGGCAACGAACCAACCAAGAAGCTATCGCTGAAGAAATATGCATTGGAAGGAAGTGGAGATGGATTGGATTGGGCATACACTGAGAAGGCCGACTGGGGACATCACGCGACAGGCCAGGCCGTCGAGTGGGACCCAGATGGGAAGCGATGAGTTGGGAGTCCGAGGCGAGGGTGACATGGAGGAGATGGTGTGAGGAAGACATGAGAGCTTGTAGGCAGTTGTGAAGCCAGGTTCAAAAGATTGCAGAGAAGAGAGTGCGCTGGAGACATACTACTGAGGCCCTATGTTCTATTAGGAACCCAAGGGACAAATAATAATAATGATAAAAAAGTTCGTTAGTTACGAAGTGTTCGACATCGCTGGAGGACTCAGCTTTACGCTTTGTAAGTACTTACAACTATCTGGCTCAACATCTAATGTATTCACTTTTCATTTTCAGGGAATTCTGGCTGTATTTACAACGGCTATTTTTCAAGTAGATCCATTCAGCAGCATGTCTTACACAAATATAAGCATTTCTGGTGCACACATTTTATCATAGACTGATACAAGAATGCAGATATATGCGGGTTAACTAGCTGTTACGATTGACTCATGTAGGAAATAGCTGAAATGGTAATATAGCTTTAACAGTGTGGTATCTTTGCTTTTACATATCGCTTTGTAAAAATTATTCCAAAGAATAACTGACAATCTGTTTTCAACCAACACTCTGAAACTTCGTTACCTACTATAAATGCAGTACTAAGCAATAAATGTTGCTCACTGTAAAACCATACGACAATATATTCAAATGTTTTATAGTGACTGCTGAATATGTACAGCAATATAAATATACTAATACATAAGGATCTGAAAAGAAGTTAAATGGTTGAAGCAGTGGATTTTCAACCGGTTGATCATATTACGACTTTCAAGAGATACAATGGCTAGATCCAACGGACTCACGGGTGTAGAATTAAGTTCTAAAGTAGAAAGCACACTTCTTAATTAGATAGCAGTCGGCAGCTATCTATGCACTTTTCGACTAAATGGGTTTGTTGAGGTGTAGAAGGATAGGTATGCTCTCTGATACCTGTTTACATTCATCATATATGCGCCAACCGATTGCATTTTGGATGATTGACGCAACTGAGGAGTTCCAAGAACATCTATCAAACTTACTGCACAAAGCGAAACGTTCAGATATGGTCATATTAGTGGGTAACTTCAGGGCTGAAGTAGGACAGTTTAGCCAATGAAAAAGGTATTTTAGGAGTATCTGTCGCATCCGATGCTGACGAACTGATAATGTAGCGCTTAGTTGCCCTGTGGTCACTCGTTATAATGGAGGCTTGTATGTCTGCCAGGTCATAGACGCGAAGAGCAGTCAAGCCAGTGTGTGCTCTGTTGGAAGATTAGAATGTCAATGCTTATTTAGGGAGCGAACAGCTAAGCATTTATGTAAACATGGCAGCAATTCTCACCTGGGTTATGCCTGGCATAATACTCACTGTGCTGTAGAAACAGTGGTAGAAACATATGGTAGCCTGAATTGGAGGGATAACAAAAGTCAGTGAATTTGTGCAACTTCATGAGAACTGATCTATGAAATTAGACTGGTTCCAGCTGGATATAACCAAAATAAAGAGTGAAGCAGCTAAAGGTGAAACGACTGGAATGGTGGATGGAACCGTTCGAGGAACAGTTCAACTGCCCTCTACCTAGTATTCTACTATTCGCTATCCAGTTGGAGCCTAAATAGAACATCGAAATAGGACCCGTGACACTTATCGAAGTCGGAAAAGCTGTTGGTAACCTGAAGCGCAGAAGAGCGGCAGGGCCAGACGGATTACTGCCAGAAACATTCAAGGACTGTGGTTGAGGATCTTCAGTCAAGTTAACTGAAGTGTTAATTAGTGTGTGGGAGTCATATGCAATCCTCTCTGACTGGCGTCAATCACTGACTGGATGAAAGGCGATAATTCCTCTTGTGATAGCCACAGAGGAATGCGCCTGACGAACATGTTGTCTAGGATTCTAGGTTCAGTTATCATTAGACGTCTGAGTGGAGCTCGGGCTCCAGGAACCTGAGGAAACCAGGCAGGTTTCAGACTTGGCCATGGGTGTGTCGAAGGGACATTGACACTCTGCCAGGTTGTAGAACACAGGCGCACTTACCGACATCCGATACTGGTTGTATTTCTTGAGCGAAAGGTGACACTCGATCCCGTCGACTGTGAGATCTTATGCGAGTGTCTTTCACTGAGAGGGATACTGAGTGAGTACATCACTCCCTTGAAGGCTGCTTACTCGAACACCCGTGGATGTGTCTGAGAATATGGTGAGTGGTTAGGTGAGCTGAGTGTATCTAGTGGTGTCAGTCAAAGATGCCCTCCATCGGTGTTCAATTTTGTTGTTTTTGTTGTTGTAGACGCTCTTATGGAGGTCTTCCTCTCGTCGTCTGACTTTACAGGGACTGATCTAACCACAGGATAATGCTTTATCGATCTGAATTAGTCAGATGATGTAGTCGTGTTAGGTGAAGACTGTGATAAGATGCAGAGTCTTCTGATCATATTGAGTGAGGATTTGATAGTGGTTGGAATGGATGTCTCGACCCTCAAAGTAAATGTTTGCTCGAGAAGTGGTCTTCAGCGGTGCAGCGGCTAGCGATTTTTGGAGTGAAGTGGTTGAGTGTGCTGAGCACTTCACTTACCTGGGAGGTCGGATCAGTGGCCGATGAAATGGCTGCATGGATACAAAAAGCTTGACTGGCTTTGCGAACTTAGGCGATCTGTGGCGCCGCTGCGATATCCAGTTGCCGAGTAAGAGTCGAGTGTACTGTGCTGCAGTTCACTGAGTTCTACTGTATGGGTGTGGAACGTGACGATTGAAGGCAGAGGATATGCGAAGGCCTTAGATGTTCGAGAACTGTTGCTTTTGTAGTGTAGTGTAGGTCGTGTGTCTCGGTGTCACTAAGAGTGTAACGCAGAAGTCGGGTGTAGAGTTTTAGGGGGAGAGGAAGGTCAGTTGATTGTGAACCTTCATCGATTGATGTGGCTGGGACATGTGTTATGCATGCCTTGTCACCGTCCGTCTTGTCGCTCAGTGTTAAGTGAAGTGGTTTCAGGCTGGAATAAGACTTTGGGTGGCCAAACTAAAACATGACATGATTGCACGAAATCGTGGACTGTTGGTTTGAGCCATGTTGGGAGATGCAGACTAAGGGATTGGAGTCCAGTTGAGAGTAGAAACCAATGGATTGAATTCTGTAGGTGATATGGCTGAGAATCGATGTTAGTTGCGGAGATGTATTCATACATTGTCTTCATCTTAACGCTATACTTAATCTCATCATTTTCTCATCCCTCATTCCTGTCTTTTACTCCTTTGTACTGCTTTTGATCGATGATGATCTTTATTTCTTCATCTTTCATCTAATCACTTTGTTGTTTGATGTGGTGATCTGAGGTGTGGGAACTTCGACCGTTGCGCAGTAATGCCCGGTTTTCTGCTGATATCAGTTTTGAAATCTTAGCTCTGATATCGGGAGCGTATTTGTCAATTCCCTGACTTCGTCGTCTCTGGCTTTGACGAGATATCTGATTGCATATATAAAGTTGAGTATCTTGTGGTGCTGTGGTGTTTATGCTGTTTTCTGCCTGTAAGACATGGTCTTTGTTAATAGGAGATATGAAGGAAACAATGTTATTGATTGTATTTCCCACTTGAGGTCTGAATACTGAGTGGGCATTGTGGAGTTTAGTTGGACTGTACGGTGCTAGAGAAGGAAGGTATGGTCAGGGAGACTTTTTCCTTGAGTGTGTTATATATATGAAAATGAGATTTTATCTTTTAGCAGTGTGTACCACATTAGTGTATGGTTTTTCGATTACAGTAGGGTTGTGTATCATCAGGTTCATTTTTAAGAAATGAGGATTTCAGTACTTCACTCTTTATAGACTGACTCAGGTTTAGTCTGTTCGTTTTGCGTATTTGTCTGGTCACACTGCTTAGTTGTTCATTTCCTGACTTTTTCTCTAGGTTCCTGGCTTTTGGAATCCCACTGTTTTCAATCCCACCAGGGTTGTTTTCCACATTGGTTGACTATCCTTTAAATCACAGTTATTTCTTGATCAAATACTTCATTTTTAGTTTACTGCTTTGTTCGCCTTCTTACAAGCAATGAATTTCACCTTGATATGCTAATATTCAGTGTACAAACTTGAAGGATCAAGTAACATTTCAGCTTTGTATGTTCATGTGTTTATTGCCTTTTAATAAAGTTATGCAGTGCAAGTCATTTATTATTTTTATTGGCAAAATAGGCAAATACAATAAATGAGTCACACTCTACAAAATCTGTGCTGCTTTTTAACTCGGTAACGTTCTATAGATGTATGTAATATTCGACAAATGATACCCACTATGTGGGTGCGCTGATTATATTATCCAATGTGCTTTCGTAAACAGAATTATGAAGAATAAATTTACGCCTGTATGAAATAACTGACGTCAAGTGAGTGCTCGAGCCACCAAGTCATAGCTTTAGTCTTTACTGTTAGTTGAACAATAAACTAACAGTTTATTGTTGTACAAGGCAAAGGAGATTAAAAAATTGAACTCATCAAGAATGAAGAATACATATATATGTCTTACTTGTTGACTTGGATAATTTGTATTAAGAACCAATCTTCTTTCACTGTTGCCTGTTTCAGTTTTATGAAATCGATTATAGAAGCCTACCAGACCATATAACTGTACCTGAACATTATTCACTTGTTTCATCTGTCTACAGTTTACTGAATTGTTGGATACATCATTATTTCGGTCATTTATATTAGTGAATTTCCGTATTTCATTGAACAGATTTTCATATATTGTTTCATTTTGATAAACAATATTCGAGTTGGTCTTGTTAATTTCACTCTGTTCAAGGTTTGTATTCAATAAGAACGATTGACAGCCATTTATTTCATCAGTGAAGTAGTTTGATGGTGTAATTTTACTTGATGTATTCTCTAGATTTCATGAAAAAATTTCACAATTGTGAACAATTTTGTTACAGAGCAGGTACATCAAACACACACTTCATGATTCAAATGTTGTCATTAATACTAAAGATAAGTAGTTTTATTGAACTTTACTAGTTTTTAGAGTTTGTGTTTAAAACAATGGGTAGTCGGCAGAAATTCTTAGACTTGTATAGTTTTTTTCAGCACTTGTCATCAAAGAGTACCTGTAGCCTTATAGAAACTAATATCCTGTTAGAAATTCTATCTCACGTTACCCAGTATTACAATAAGAGAGGTGATCAACTAGTTATCCGGGCTGTGATCAACCTGATGTAGGACTGGATGATATACATTGATTGAACGGTAACCAGTCAATTTCAGCTAATACTGTTTTCATCTTGGGCAGTGAGAAATGCGCCAAACAACATGTAACTTAATGAACCTGTAAAAACCTGTGAATTAGGCTACCACCTACACTTAGTGTGTGCAGAAGCTATCCAAGGTGAAGTGGTATTCTTACTTCAGAACCACCTTTTTAAAATTCGATAGGTACGCAAATGAGACACATCCCTATTTTAAAGTTAAAATATCACGTTGCTGAAGCTCTTTACTGAAGAATTCAAAACTTGCCTATTGTAGAATCAAATAAACTTCTCTGACAGTTTTGTAGATCTTAATTTTAAAAATATTTGGTTAACTATTGTTTGACAATTGTTTTTTGAGTTTGCAGCGATCGGTGTAGAAAGTATCATGCGGATTCAATAGGTTAATGCTTTGGATTTATTAGTTTGTCAGTCAATAAGATACCAGTTGTTTCACCGTGCTGTGAACAGCGTTGTGTTTTAAATTTCTGAACTCCTGGGATAAAGCGATGTTTTAAGCGTTATAAAAAAAAATGAAAGGAACACCTGTGGTTATCTAGAGGTAGAACTGGTTAAGGACGATCATATATATGGACGTCTAGAAAGCTTATCAAGCGTTAACTTCTTTGGGGTTCCTATGTCAAAAGGTATCACTTGATCGTAGAAAGAGTACGTCTATCTAAGTGTAACCTTTTGCTACTAAGTGGTTTATTCTCACACGAATGAACATTTTTGCCAGTTGTCGTCCAATATTTGATGGAAGACTTGAAAAAACATCATTCCCTTGATTATATCAGAGTTTTATCTTTCGTGAGTTTGGTTGCCTGAGGGAACTGATTTGTCCTAAGTCAGTTTTCATTGCACACAAATGTACGAATGTGTAAAAATACACCGATCATTCTTTTCTTTCTACTGTAGCATCCAAGTGCTCACGGGTAACGAGAAATGAATAAAAATATAAGTTGCCTAAATCATTAGGATTGTGAAACGCAAAGATATAATAAGCTTTTCTCAGAGTGATATTTTTGATGGTGCTTCTGCAGCAAGAATATATCAAAATTTAAATGACATTCTGGATTGATGGCAGCTTAATAGGTGATAAGCTTCTAATTCCTTATATTTTGAACAAGTGTGAGTTCATATAAGCTGTCGTCAACGATCCTTGTCAAGGATTTCAATGTCTCAAGTTTTAAAACATTCAGTCACTAACCAAGGAACCTGCACCCCTTTGAACATCTCAAACAAACAGTCAAGGATGTCATAGGGTCTCGTATTCTGTCATGCCTACTGTTAAGGTTTTGCATATTCCTTCACAGAGTAAATTAAATTGAATGGTTATTGGGTAGGTACAACCACCCTTAAATCTGATCCATTCAGTGCAGGTTTAGAGCACGATCCACTAATGAACGTTGACTAACTAAACTTCTTTTTCGTTCTAACCTAAGTACTGGATATCCAGAACATGTGATGCTCAAGAGGCAGTCACTAGTCAGCTAAACGAAAGAAAGATAATTATCAAACTTTAAAAATGGTGTCAGTTCAAAATGTGTAGAAATAAAAAATGATATACCGATCTTGGAAACTTCATTCATTCCAGCCAATGGATCATTGTAATTCGTCAAATAAAGTTTGGTTGTTGTATAGTTCTCCGATTTTTTATAATTTTCACATGTACTGCCTAAAGAAGTTGTTACAGCTTCTTCGCTATGTGTTTCACAGTTTTTCATCGTCGGCATAATTAGATTCTGGTTATAATAATTACCATTTTCATTTGAAAGCTGGGATTTGTGTACTGTATTTTCACGCTGATATTCACAAAAATTTCTTATGATGCTTCTTCGCTGATTGTCAGCTGCATTCTCCGATGAACAGATTAAATTCTGTGAAGCTTGAGATGTTTGTTGCCTTGAGTAAGAAAAAGAGCTTGTGAAAAAAAACACGAATTGCATACAATACTGTCTCTTAATTAAATTAGACAGAACAACATTTTTAGCGAAATAGAGTGGATTCATTTAATTTCGGGGCTTCTCATCAGCTGCTTACAACCTAAAACGACTTTATTACGCAGATAATTTTTAATATAATCCCAGTGTGTTTAGAAAATTAAGACAACTAATCAGTCTGAACAATAAATTATCTAACCGATGGCTTAAACACATAAGTAGCTACATGTACCGTTCGACAGTATATATTGTGATGTTGAATAAAAATCCGAATATTTTGCTACAGAAACTGTGGTATACATAGAGAAACATTCGGAGAAACTGGGATTATATTAAAACTTGCCTGTATAATGATCAAACCTGACCTGGTGCTCAACTTCTTCTGGGACATTCATAACAGCTACGGTCTGGATGTTTGTAAAACAGCTTTGATATCAAGAAATACAAAATAATGTCTACATAAATGACCGAATTCGATAGAAAATCACCAACTTGGCAAGAAAATATGGACGTTCCTTAATTCAAATTGTACGAGTTGAGTAACTGGAGCAATTAGAAATACTAATAATAACAACCCCTTTTGTGGCAATATGTTTGAGCATACTTCAAGGAGTTTATCATTGGGAAGGAGCGATTGCTTGTCACTTTGTTGATAATGGACATGAAGTTGATATCCAGAAATCGTTTAAAGTAATTCATAAACATGTGAATTCAAACTTATTGCCTTTTGCTGAAACGGCAGCTAGTAAACAGTCAAAACGTATGTATTCAGAAGGAGACAGTTATCAGTGTGTGGCTACCATGATACAGTTTTTTGTATCATTAATAATCATGATGATTTCCACATAATAGAAAAGCTGATACACCCATATCGTTTGTTTAATTTCACACTTTTAACCTCATCCACTGAATTCTAATCATATTATTTTCAATTTTAGCTAGAACAAATTCTTCAGCCTCCTTTGACATCGTTATATGTATATCTTTTCAGGCCTTAGTGGAATGTAGATAATTTTAGGGCTGACTTTAAAAGCTACCTTAGCAACTGCTTAGATAACCAATTAGACTTCTATATCTAATGTGAAACTATCATCCTAGCAGGAATACCGGAACCTGATTGGTTATTATACCAGTTGCCAGGGTGGCCGTTAAAGTTGCCTTAGTTTTACTCATAGATAAAATATCAAACCTATGGTTATAAGTATTCGATAAAAATTCTTGAAGCAGACAAAATTATTACTGTACTTTTAACCTATAGAAAACCCAATATAAAGTAAGTTCATCCGGGTTTTTTCAGAAATTAATAAAACTGTTCCTTAAATTATTGTAAGTTACAGAATAATATGAATAAGACTAGGAACTAAGGGAATTTACTGAGTTTAGCCACCTAAGCGTTTTCATCGACAGAAGTAACAACGTATGAACAAGAAGCGAAAATGATTCTTTTTGCTATCAGTATGTCTTAAAATGAAAAGAAATTCTAGGAAGATTAAGTTCCCCACCTATATAATGTACAATGACGGTAAGCTATAATTATAGTAGGCAACGCTTAGTTGAGTGAAACTATCACTGACCTCAAAATGCAAGCTTTCAGATATAGCTTTATTACGAAATGATATCAGCTGAAGAACTGTAATAAACCTTGGACCACTGGACAGCTGTTTCATTCCAGTTTTTAAATGAGTCGTACTGAACAGTAAAATCCCACACAGCAGTGATACACCATTTCATACAGTTCAGTCAATAAATTAATTCGTTGAATTTTAAATATAAGTCGATTGTATAATGTTTGTCTAAATCTCACTTTGAAACAACTTATAAAGTTAGACTGAATACTTTGCCAAAAGAGGAATTTCATCAATGAGTAGTAGAAACACTGTTTGTCTAGGGTTTTGAAAGTGGTAAGTCCAGCCTTTTTCTTCACTTCTATCATTATCAGTCGCTGTCATTAATTCATCCACATTTTTTGACTTTTCCTCTGATACATCTGTTTATTCAAAATCAACGAATAAAACTTCCGCTCATTAACTTCGTCTTAAATAAACTATAAAGTTTCTTTAGTTCCACTACCTTCCTCATTATTATATAACTCATTTACAACTGTCGTTGCAGCGTGTGGCTCTTCATAGTAAACAGTTTTGATGTGGTATCAACTAATTCATTCATCAATTTTAGACGCTCAACTCTTCGCTAAACTCTCACTATGATTTAGTGGTTTGATAAGTGATTTTACTGAAAAGAACATTTACTCTAGCAAGATACTTTTTTCAAAACTCAATGGGTTTCCTTCAGTTGTTCCAAAACTTCCTTCGAAAGACTCTGGTTTAAATTTCAGTTTTTAAAACACAGTCTTGGAGAGAACGCTTGAACTTTTAATCTATCTCAAATACTCTGTATTTTTAGGCATTACAATCTGCTTTACAGGCACTCCAAAACTAAACTATAACAGCTGTCTTCATTATAATTTGGTTAAAGTGAGATAAGTAGAAATTTTTTCACTCAGTAAACAATACTGTTCGACTGTGTGACACATCATAAAAACCAACTAAAATGGAATTATGTTCTACCACACTACCGAGATTTTACCCTTTTATACCAGCCGTTTGGTTGATGAGTTTATTTGAGTCAGCAGCATCTACCACCTCTCTCAATGAGTAGTACAAAACTGCACTAGTTAAGATATTAGGGGAAAATAACGAAGTCATTAATGGATCGAATCAATGAAATCAAGTCATTTTTATTACAAATACTGTTCCAAAGATTTGTCATATAAAGTCCTTACTGTTTTAACTTAACAAATTTACTTTATTTTTCATTCATTGAGAAGTACAAATACTAAAATTATGAGTATCCTTATTTTGATCTTATCTGCTTACTGCTAGAATAGGCAGTAATAAGTGGTCTTACCAACCATGCTGGTTTGTTGACTGAATTTACAAATCATGATCAGCCATTATAAATTATTATCTACTTTACACTAATATAACTTCACCTAGGTGACTAGTCCACTAGTTACTAGCCGGTCCTAAGCCCGGCTAAAGAGGTAAGATTGGGCATACGGCCAGCAACCCTAACCCGTAAAACCAATCTAACAGCTAAAGAAACTTCAAAGCACAAAGAAAATAAAAACAAATTTGTTCCTCCCGGGAATCGGAGAGGCGAAATGATGCCGATTAGTGAAAATCTTCGGGAAGCAAATTCGCTGATGTGTCTTCTCTCTCTCGATGAAAGCGAAAGTAAGCATGGAGACATGGAATATCCGCACCATGTTTGAGGCTGGATGGCAAGGCTGCCCAGATCGCAAAACAGATGAAAAGGTATAATATAGAAATATTAGGAATCTGTGAAAGCAGATGGAATGGAAGTGGACTCTCCAAACTGTTAACGGCAGAGCCTATTATCTACTCCGATATTGTCACCCAGACGACAATCACCACCACAATGAGTTTTGGAATGGCTATCATGATGTCCCCAACACCATCAAAGGCTCTCATGCAGTCGGAACTAATCTCCTCCAGCATCAGGATCATGACAGCAAGATTCAAATCAAAAGAAGGAAAGTCACAATCATACAGTGCTACGCTATGCACCTACAAACAATGCAGATGAAGAGAAGAAGAAGGAATTCCACAGACAACTGCAATCAGCACTGGACAAGACCCCTCCTTAGTTGGCGACATCGAAATCCGAATGGGTGGGTGACATGAATGCCCAACTGAGAGCAGATAACACAGGAAGAGAACTATGCATGGGTCTAGAAGCACTCGGTGAAGTAATGAATGAGAATGGAGAACTGTTTGCAGATCTCTGCGCATTCAACGATTCGGTGATTGGAGGCAGTGTGTACAGACACAAGGATATTCACAAGGTACTGACATGGACTTCACCAGATGGACAAACTAAAAACCAGATTGACTTGATCTGAATGTGAAGAAAGTGGAGACGCAGCCTACTGGACACAAGATGAAGAAGGGGAGCAGATGTAGGTTCACACCACTCACTATCTAGTGCAAGGAACCTACCTTCAAGATCAAGTTGTAAGCCTTCAAAGAAGCTGATGATGACAGACCAGAGTTCAAGTTGAACAACCACCCAGAACAGAAGCTGAACTGAAGGACGAAACTACAAAGGAAGTCTTCACGTGAGTCATCAGGAAAAAATGGGCGATATTGAGCACATCCCTGAAGAAATATCCATAGAATAACACTGGAACTATTCGAAAGAGATGTGGAAATAAACCTGCATAACCGTATTAGGAAGGAAGAGGAAACAAGACAAGGAATGGATCTTGACAGACATATGGAAAATGATAGAGGGAGAGGAAAATGGTGAAGCCGAAGATGAATCAGTGTAGGAATGAACAACAAAAGAGGAACTGAACACAACCTATAAAACTCTGGACAATGAAGTGAAGAGGAGTGCACGCAAAGACAGAAGACACTTCTACGACATAACTGGCAAGTGAAGCGGATCAGGCTGCAGAGATAGAGACCTGACAGCACTATATCAAACAACCAGGTTACTATCTGGGAAGAGATCAACGCAGATGAAACCGATGAGAGATGGTGAAGGAAACCTAGTTATCACCAAAGAGGAGAAACAAAGTCAACGTTGGGCTGACCACTTCAGAAAACTCTTGAATGGACCACCAATAACACCTGCAACTCGTCTGGAAATACCAATAGCAGCCCAGCCACAGAACTCTCAGCAAACGCCATCCTTCCAATAAAAGCAAAGGTTCTGGATCCCATAAAGCTGCTGACACCTAGGAAGCAGCAGGACCAGATGGAATTCCACCAGAAGCACTGAAAACAAACGCAGAGACAACAGCAGCGGACATGCTCACACCACACCACTATTGCAGAAGGTTTGGGAGGAAGGAAGGAGAGGTACCTGCCGATTGGAAGAAGGGCTACCTTGTCAAACTCTCAAAGAAGCGAGACCTAAGGCTTTGCAAGAAGTGGCACGGAATCATACACCTATCCCCACCCACCTAAGCAAAATATTAACCCGCATTATTCTGGAGAGATTAATAGATGCGACCGGAACAAGCTGTCTGCCTTCAGGAAGAACAAATCATGTATGGATCAAATTGCAGTGCTAAGCATCATCTCATCATAGAACAGAACACAGAATGGCAGCCAACTCTCTATCTCAACTTCGTCGACTTTGAAAAGACCTTCGACAGCGTCAACCGAAAAATAATTTGGCAACTGCCTCAACACTACGGTTTTAGTTAGTGGCACAAATCTTTATCAACCTTATTCAACAGCTATATGAAAATACCACATGCCGAGTGATTCACAATGGAAAACTCAGTGACATATTTGAAGTGAAGACAGGAGTAAGACAAGGCTGCCACCTACTATCTCTGATCATCTTCCTTATTGTGGTCTTCTGGACTAAACTGAATCATGCAACAAGTTATATGGAGTGAGAAGATGGGCATAGGCTGGATGGACCGATGAAAAACGCTAAAAGAAGATTTGGATTTCGTCGAAGATTTCCAGGCGAAAACTAACAAGTTGACAGAAGAGGCGAGGCAG